GGTCTAATGTTGAGTGTCCATGGTGGTAGGATAAATATCTCTAAAATATGTAGTTTACAACCTACTGACTTCAAATTCATAGCAAGAGTGTTTTTATTCTCAGTGGTTCAAAACAAAGGTATGGAATTGTGTCTTTGGGACAATTGTCATGGCTTCAGCCATATGTCCATCCATTTTGGCCACTGATGCCAAATAATGCAGTTTTCTGATTGACCAGGCCTATGACATAAATACCTTGTAGCAAGCTGTGGAGTCAGTTCTACTGAAACCACATGGATTGAAATTGAGTAAATACTAGAAAAGTGAGGAGCTGATACTAGGGGGAATGGAAGTTAATGCTGCACAAGTGGAAACAGATAAAAAATAACCCCTACAAGAACCTAACTTATTTTGGGTCTTAGGAAAGACTTCTTTTTCAATAAATCATTTCTTCAATTGACCTAACAGATGAGTAAATCTTAACTAGGCTAAGGGAAGGTTTAGACGGATGGGTACAGGACAAGATTTCAGTAAAAGGAAAGTGTGCAGACTCAGAGGAAGAAAAAATTTCTTCAGAATCAAGGAAGATTAAGAAGTCATAATTGTTAATGCCATACAATCAATGTCTTTTATGTTTATAGAATTATTTACATTATGTACTTTGTCTTGGTTGAGTTTGGAATGTTTCTCGTTATTGAGGAATTAGTACATTTACTCTAAGTTTTTGATTTATGAGTGTAACATTTTCATAGTTATTTTCTTATTCTATTTAATGGTAGCACAATTTGTAGTGATAACCCTGTGTCAATCTGAAGATTAATAACTTAAGTCATTTCTTTCAATTCTTGTAATCTTGCCAGAGGTTTTCTTTTTCATTATAGTTTATTACAAGACATTGAATACAGTTCCCTGTGTTATATACAGTAGAACATTGTTGTTTATCTATTTTATATATAGTAGTTTATATCTCCTAATCCCAAACTCCTAATTTATCCCCCAGCTTTCCTTTTGGGTAATTATAAGTTTGTTTTTTAATGTCTGTAAGTCTGTTTCTCTTTTGTAAATTGTTCATTTGTATCACATTTTAGATTTCACATATAAGTGATATCACATGATATTTGTCTTTTTCTGTCTCACCTATTTTACCTAGTATGGTAATCTATAAGTCCATCCACGTTGCTGCAAATGGCATTATTTCATTCTTTTTTATGGCTGACTATTATTCCAATGTGTATATATACCACACCTTCTTTATCCATTCATCTGTCAATGGACATTTAGGTTACTTCCACGTCTTGGCTGTCATAAATAGTGCTGCTATGAACATTGGGGTGCATATATCTTCTCTGATTAGAGTTTTCTTCGTTTCTGGATATATGCCCAGTAATGAGATTGCTGGATCATATGGCAACTCTATTTTTAGTTTTCTAAGGAACCTCCTTACTGTTTTCTATAGTGGCTGCACCAATTTGTATTCCCACCAACAGTGTGGGAGGGTTCCCTTTTCTCCATACCCTCTCTAGCATTTAATATTTTTAGTGTTTTTAATCATGGCCAATTGTGAGCTAATACATCTCTGTAGATTTTATTTCTCCACTAATAACTAGTGATACTGAACATCTTTTCATGTGTTTATTGGTCATCTCTAGTCTTTGGAAAAATGTCTATTTAGGTCTTCTGCCCTTTTTTCGATTGGGTTGTTTGTTGTTTTGTTATTGAATTGTAGGAGCTGTTTTTATATTTTGGAAATTAAGCCCTTGTCAGTCACAACATTTGCAAATATTTTCTCCCTGTCTGTAGGATGTCTTTTGGTTTCAGGTGTGGTTTCTTTTGCAGTGCAAAAGCTTATGAGTTTGATTTAGTACCATTTGTTTATTTTTGCTTTTATTTCCATTGCCTGGGGAGACTGATCTAAGAAAACATTGCAAAAATTCATTTCAGAGAATGTTTTGCCTAAGTTCTCTCTTAGGAGTTTTATGGAGTCATGCCTTATATTTAAGTCTTTAAGCCATTTTGAGTTTATTTTTGTGTATGGTGTGAAGAATTTCTAACTTCAATGATTTACATGGGACTGTCCAACTTTCCCAACACCACTTACTGAAGAGACTGTCTTTTCTCCACTCTATATTTTTGCTTCCTTTGTTGAAGATTAATTGAATGTAGGTTTGTGGGTTTATTTGTGGGGTATCTCTTCTGTTCCATTGATCCATCTGTCTGTTTTTATGCCAATACCATGCTGTTTTGATGACTGTAGCTTTGTAGTATTAGCTGAAGTCTGGAGGGTTATGCCTCCTACTTTGTTCTTTTACCTCAGGATTCCTTTGGCAATTCTGGGTCTTTTATTGTTCCATGTAAATTTTACAATTATATATTCTAGTTCTGTAAAAAATGTCATAGGTAATTTGATATGGATCACATTATATTAGTAGATTGCTTTGGTTAGTAAGGCCTTTTTAACACTACTAATTCTTCCAATCTAAGAACATCTTATCTTTCCATTTCTTTTTCCATTTCCATTTCTTCCAATCTAAGAACATCTTCCAATCTAAGAACATCTTATCTTTCCATTTCTTTGAATCATCTTCAATTTCCTTTATCAATGTTTTATGTTTCTCAACATATGTCTTTCACTTCCTTGGTGAGGTTTGCTTCTAAGTACTTTTTAATTATTAAAAAAAAATTTTAAGTTGAAGTATAGTTGATTCACAATGTTGTGTTAATTTCTGCTGCACAGAAAAAGTAATTCAGTTATACATATATACTTACAAATATAAAAAATATATATTTTTTAATATTCATTTTCATTATGGTTTATCACAGGACATTGAACATAGTTCTCTGTGCTATACAATAGGACTTTGTTGTTTATCCATTCTATGTATAAAATAGCTTAAATGTGCTAACCCCATCCTCCCACTCCATTCCTCCCCCTTGGCAACAACAAGTATTTTCTTTATGTCCATGAGGCTGTTTCTCTTTTTTGATAGGTGCATTTGAGTCATATTTTAGATTCCACATATATGTGATATCATATGGTATTTGTCTTTTTCTGACATACTTCATTTAGTATAAAATTCTCTAGTTGCATCCATGTTGTTGCAAATGGCATTAATTTGTTCTTTATTATGGTTGAGTAATATTCCATTGTATATATGTGCCACACTTCTTTATCAATTTATCTGTCAATGAACATTTAGGTTGTTTCCATGTCTTGGCTACTGTGAATAATGCTGCTATGAACATGGGGATGCATATATGTTTAGAATTAGAGTTTTGTCTGGATATATCCTCAGGGGTGGGAATGATGGATTATATGTAATTCTATTTTTAGTTTTCTGAGGAACCTCCATACTGTTTTCCATAGTGGCTGTACCAACTTGCATTCCCAACAACAGTGTAGGAGGGTTCCATTTTCTCCCCAGTGTTTTTTATTTGTAGATTGTTTTATGATGGTTATTCTGACTGGTGTGAGGTGGTACCTCACTGTAGTTTTGATTTGCATTTTTCTAGTAATTAGTGATGTTGAACATCTTTCATGTGTCTATTAGCCATTTGTATTTCTTCCTTGGAGAAATGTCTATTTAGATCTTCTACCCTTTCTTTGATCGGGTTTTGTTTTTTTCTTGTTGTTGAGTTGTATGAGTTGTTTGTATATTTTGGAAATTAAGCCCTTTTTGGTTACAACATTTGCAGAAAATTTTCTCAGTTTGTATGTTGTCTTTTCATTTTGTTTATGGTTTCCTTTGCTGTGCAAGAGCTTATAAGTTTGATTAGGTCACATTTTAAATTTTTGTTCTTATTTCTATTGCCTTGGGAGACTGACCTAAGAAAACACTGGTAAGATTTATGTCAGAGAATGTTTTGCCTATGATCTCTTCTAGGAGTTTTATGATGTCATGTATTATGTTTAACTTTTTAAGCCATTTTGCATTTATTTTTGTGTATGGTGAGATGGTGTGTTCTAACTCCTTTGATGTTCTAACTTCTTTACATGTGGCTTTTCAACTTTCTCAACACTACTTGCTGAATAGATGGTATTTTTCCCATTGTATATTCTCACCTCCTTTGTCAAAGATTAATTGACCTTAAGTATGTGGGTTTATTTGTGGGCTCTCTATTATTTTCCACTGATCTATATGTCTGTTTTTGTGCCAATACAACACTGTTTTGATTATTGTAGATTTGTACTATTATCCAAAGTCTAGGAGGGTTATACCTCCTGCTTTGTTCTTTTTCTTCAAGGTTGCTTTTGCAATTCTGGATCTTTTATGGTTACATATAAATTTTAAGATTATTTGTTCTAGTTCTGTGAAAAATGTTATGGGTAATTTGATAGGGATCACATTAAATCTTTAGATTGCTTTTGGTAGTATGGCCATTTTAATAATATTAATTCTTCCAATCCAAGATCAAGGGATATCTTTCCATTTCTTTGAATCATCTTCAGCTTCCTTTATTAATGTTTTATAGTTCTCAGTGTCTAAATATTTCACCTTCTTGGTCATATATACTCCTAAGTATTTTATTTTTCAGGGTGCAATTTTAAAAGGTATTTTTCTTTTTACATTCTTTTTCTGATATTTCATTGTTACTGTAGAGAAATGCAGCTGATTTGTGTATGTTAATCTTGTATCCTGCTACCTTGCTAAATTTATTAGTTCTAGTACTCTTTGTGTAGAGTCTTTAAGGTTTTCCATATATAATATCATGTCATCTGCATATAATGATAATTTTAACTCTTCCCTTCCAATTTGAATACTTTTTCTTTCGTTTTCTTCTCTGATTGCTGTGGCTAGGACTTCCAGTACTATGCTAAATAGAACAGGTGAGAATAGGCATCCTTGTCTTGTACCATTTTTGTGGGAAGGCTTTCAGGTTTTCACCATTGAGTATTATATTTGCTGTGGGTTTTTCATAAACAGTTTTTATTATCTTGAGATATGTTCCCTCTATACACACATTGGCAAGAGTTTTTGTCATGAATGGATGTAGAATTTTGTCAAATGCTTTTTCTGCATCTGTTGAGAGGATCATGTGGTTTTTGTCTTTTCTTTTGTTGAGGTGGTTTATCACATTAATTCATTTGCCTATGTTGAACTATCCTTGTGAACTTGGGATGAATCTCATTTGGTCATAGTGTATGCTCTTTTTTACATGTTGTTGGATTTGGTTTGCTAATATTTTGTTTGCACCTATATTCTTCAAATATATTGGCCTGTAATTTTCTTTTTTGTTGGTGTCTTTGTCTGGTTTTGGTATCAGGATGATGGTAGCTTCATAGAATGTCTTTGGGAGTGATCCCTACTCTTCAATTTTTTGGAAGAGTTTGAGAAGGATCAGTATAAGTTCTTCTTTGTATGTTTGGTAGACTTCACCTGTGAAGCCATCTGGTCTTGGACTTTTGTTTGTAGAGAGGTTTTTAATTACAGAGTCTATTTCACTTCTAGCGATTGTTCTATTAATATTATCTATTTCTTCTTGATGCAATTTTGGTGGGCTATATGTTTCTAGAAAGTTTTCCATTTTTTCTAGGTTGTCGAAATTTTTGTCATATCTTTGATCATAGTATTCCCTTACTGTTTTTTTGTATTTCTTCAGTATTGGTTTCTTTGTCTCCTTTTTCATTTCTTTTTTTTTTTTTTTAAATTTATGTTCTCTATTATCTTCTTGGTGAGCCTGGACAGAGGTATGTCAATCTTATCCTTTCAAAGAACCAGTTCTTGGTTTTATTTATTTTTTCTCTTTTTTAATCTCTATTTTATTTATTTTCTCTCTGATTTTTATTATTCCTTCTTTCAGCTGACTTTAGGTTTTGTTTGTTCTTCTTTTTCTAATTTTTTAAGTAGTAGGTTATCTTGTTTATTTGACATTTTTCTTGTTTTTGGAGGAAGACCTGTATTGCTCTGAACATCCCTCTTAAGACTGCTTTTTCTAAATCCCATAGATTTTGTATGGTTGTGTTTTCACTGTCATTTGTCTCAAGATATTTCTTTAAATTTTCTCTGATTTCATTGTTGATTCATTGGTTTTTTAGTAGCAAGCTGTTTAGTCTCCATATGATCGTTCTTTTCTTGTTTATCTTTCTGTCATTGATTTGTAGTTTGATGCCATTGTGGTTAGAAAAGATGCTTGAGATAATTTCTATCCTCTTAAATTTGTTGAGGTTGTTTTTGTATCCTGGTATGTGCTTAATTCTAGAGGATGTTCCATGTGTGCTCCAAAAGAATGTATATTCTGTTTGTTTGGTTTTTTTTTGGGGGGGGGATGTAATGTCCTGAAAATATCAATTAAGTCTGTTGAATTTTGTCATTTAATATCTCTGTTGCCTTATTAATATTCTATCTAGAGGATCTGTCCATTGATGTGAGTGGGATGTTAGTGGGATATTAGTGGATGTTACTATTATTGTATTCCTGTCAATTTCTCCCTTTATGTTTGTTAGTATTTGTTTTATGTTTTGGGGCACTCCTATATTGGGTGCATATATGTTGATGAGTGTAAAATCCTCCTTTTATATTGATCCTTTTATCATTACATAGTGCCCTTCTTTATCTTTCTTTATGGCCTTTGTTTTAAAGTCTATTTTGTCAGGTTTGACTATAGCGACCCCTACTTTATTTTCATTTCTGTTTGCATGAAATATCTTTTCCCATCCTCTCACTTTCAATCTGTGTGTGTCCTTTGCCCTAAAGTGGGTCACTTGTAGGCAGCATATTGTAGGCTCTTGTTTCTTTATCCAATCTTCCACTCTATGTCTTGTGATGGGAATATTTAGTCCATTGACCTTTAAGGTAATTATTGATAGATATGTATTCATTGCCATTTTAAACCTTGTTTTCCCACTGATTTTATATTTCTTCTTTGTCCCTTTTTTTCCTTTTTGTTGTTTGATGTTTGTTTTCTTTTGTGTTATAGTTATGTTCTCTTCTCTTTTTTTGAATGTATTGCATATTTTTGATTTGTGCTTATTCTGTTTTTCAAGTATGTTAACCCCTTCTTATATCTATTTGCCTTAGACTGGTAGTCATATAGGCTCAAACACATTTTAGGAAATGAAAAAAAAATTTATATTTTCCTACTATCCTCCAGTATATTTTTATGATTTTAATGTCTTCTTTTACATCTTCACGTTCATTCTTCTGCTGTTCATTGTGGTTATCATCACTTTCACAGAAATTAAAAAAAAATTTTTTAATCTGTGTATTGGCTTATTTGCTTTCTGATTTCAGTTTTCTCTTTTGTATACATTTTTACAATAGATTTTTTACTATAAAAATTTAATTTAGGGGAGGGGGAAGGGTGAGCTGTGACAGGGCGAGAGAGAGTCATGGACATATACACACTAACAAACGTAGTAAGGTAGATAGCTAGTTGGAAGCAGCTGCATGGCACAGGGATATTGGCTTGGTGTTTTGTGACAGCCTGGAGGGGTGGGATAGGGAGGGTGGGAGGGAGGGAGACGCAAGAGGGAAGAGATATGGGAACATATGTATATGTATAACTGATTCACTTTGTTATAAAGCAGAAACTAACACACCATTGTAAAGCAATTATACCCCAATAAAGATGTTAAAACAAAATTTAATTTAGAGAAGACCTTTCGGTATTTCTTGTAGGGTGGATTTACTATTGCTGTATTCTTTTAGTTTTTGCTTGTATGAAAAACTCTTTATCTTTCTTTCTATTCTAAATAATAACCTTGCTGGGTAGAGTATCCTAGGTTGTAGATATAAATAGCTTATAGGCTTATGGGGGTTCTTGTTCAATCTGCTGCAAACCAGATGCTGTATTCTCCTCCAAGGCTCTGGTCCCACTCTCTCCTGGCTGATCTCCCTGTCCATGAGGGAACTTCCACAGTTGCAGGAACATTTCCTCTTTCACAGCTCCTCCCAAGGGCACAGGTTCCATCCCAATTCCTTTCACACTTTTCTTTCTTTTTTTTTTTCTACCCAGTTATGTGGAGATTTTCTTGCCCTTTCAGAAGTCTGAGATTTGCCAGTATTCAGTAGATATTCTGTGAGAATCTTTCCACATGCAGATGTATTTTTGATGTATTTGTGGGAGGAAGTGAGCTTCACATCTTACTACTCTGCCATCCTGATTGCTCCCTTTGAAAGTATTTTATTTTTTGATGAGTTTTTAAAAGGCTTTTTTTTTTTCCTTTCCACTTATGTGATTTCATTGTTAGGGTTAAGAAATGCAGCTGATTTCTGTATGTTATTCTTGTATCCTTCTCCCTTGCTGAATTCGTTTCTCTATTCTAGTAGTTTTTATGTGGAGTCTTTGGGGTTTTCTATATATAGTATCATGTCATCTCCGCATAATGATAATTTTACCTCTTCCCTTCCAATTTTGATAATTTTATTTCTTTTTCTTGTCTGATTGCTGTGGCTAGGAATTCCAGTACTATGTTGAATAGAAGTGGTGAGAGTGGGCATTCTTTTCTTGCTCCAGATCTTAGCAGGAAGGCTTTCATCTTTCCACAGCTGAGTATCATATTGGAGGTGGGTTTTTCATAATAATTTTTATAATGTTGAGATATGTTCCCTCTATACCCACTTTTTATAAGAATTTTTATCTTATAAAAGATAAAAATATAATTATCTTTTATATCTTATAAAAGGTAAAAAGAATTTTTATCATGAATAGACGTTCAATTATATCAAATGCTTTTCCTGTATCCATTGAGATGATCTTGTGTTTTTTGTCTTTCCTTTTGTTGATGTGGTGTATCACATTTATTGATTTACTTATGTTGGACTATCCTTTTGACCCTGGGATGAATTCATCTTGATCATGGTATCCAATCATTTGTGTGTGTAGGTGGATTCAGTTTGCTAATATTTTGTTGAGAATTTTTGCATTTATATTCATCAAAAGATATTGGCATGTAATTTTATTTTTTTGGTAATGTCTTTGTCTGGTTTTGGTATAAGAGTCTTGGTGGCTCCATAGAACGATTTTGGGAGTATTCCCTCCTCTTCAATCGTTTGGAATAGTTTGATAAAGCTCAGTATATGTTCTTCTTTATATGTTTAGTAGAATTTCCCAGTGAAGTCTTCTGGTCCTGGACTTTTGTTTGCAGGAAGTTTTTTTTTTTTTTTAATTTTTAATTTTTTTTTATTTTTCTGTTATAGATTCTATTTTACTTCTAGTGATTGGTCTGTTCAAATTATTTCTTCTTGATTCAGATTTTGTGAGCTGTATGTTTCTTGTCCATTTCTTCTAGGTTTTCCAATTTGTTGACATAAAATTTATCATAGTATATATATATTTTTGTATTTCTGCAGTTTCCTTTGTTCTCTCACCTCTTTCATTTCTTATTTTGCTTATTTGGGTCCTCTCTCTATTCTTCTTGGTGACCCTGACCCAAAGTGTGTCAATTTTTTTTACCCTTTGGAAAAAAACAGCCCTTGGTTTTATTGATTATTTCTACTATTTGTTTAATTTCAATTGTATTTATTTCTTCTCTGAACTTTATCATTTCCTTCCTTCTGCTGACTTTACATTTAATTTGTTCATCTTTTTCTAATTCCTTTAGGTAGAAGTTTAGGTTGTTTATTTGTGATTTTTCTTGTTTTCTTGATGAAGGCTTATATTGCTATCAACTTCCCTTTTAGGACTGCTTTTTCTGTATCCCATAGATTTTGTATGGTTTTGTTTTCCTTTAATTTATCTCAAGATGTCTTTTAATTTTCTATTTGATTTCATCATTGATCCATTGGTTTTTCAGTAGCATGTTATTTAGTCTCCATGTGATTTTTTTTTTCTCATTTATCTTTCTGTGGTTGATTTCTCATTTCATGTCATTGTACCAGCAAAGATGTTTGAATAATTTGTATCCTCTTCAATTTGTTGAGGCTTGTTTTGTGTTCTAGTATATGGTCAATCCTAGAGAATGCGTTTTTGAAAAGAATGCATATTCAGGGTTTTTTTTTTTTTTTTTTTTTTTGGATGTAATGTCTTGGAAAATATCAATTAAGTCTAACTATTCTATTATTTCATTTAGGATGTCTATTGCCTTAGTGATTTTCTGTCTGGAAAATCTGTCCATTGATGTCAGTGGGGTGTTTTATTTCAGTTTTCACTTGTCTGAAAAATTCTCTTTCCTTCTATTCTAAATGATAACCTTGCTGGGTAGAA